TAAAAGAGGTTATAGTAGCACTCTTAGAAAAAAAGTCAAGGTCACACAAAAGAGATGGCATGGTTTTGTTAAAAGGAAATCATGCTTAACCATTTTATTAATCAAATTGTGAAAAAAGTGGCACATCAGGAGAGCGATATGAAAACTGGCTGAATCATTTGTTTTTTCTTTATTCATTAATGGGATGAGGGGCATTGCTGGTAAGGCAGCATTTATTGCCCATCCCTAATCCTAGAGGGCAGTTCAGAGTCAACCACATTGCGGTGGGTCTGGAGTTACATGTAGGCCAGACCAGGTAAGGATGGCAGTTTCCTTCCCTAAAGGACATTAGTGAACCAGATGGGATTTTCTGACAATCGACAGTGGATTCACGGTCATCATTAGATTCTTAATTCCAGACATTTTATTGAATTCAAATTCCACCATCTGACATGGCAGGAATTGAATTTGGGTCCCCAGAACATCATCTGGGTCACTTAGAATGTAGAACATAACAGCGCAGTACAGGCCCTTCGGCCCTCGATGTTGCGCAGACTTGTGAAACCAATCTGAAGACCATCTAACCTACATTATTCCATTATCATCCATATGTTTATCCAATGACCATTTAAATGCCCTTAAAGTTGGTGAGTCTACTACTTTTGCAGGCAGGGCATTCCACGCCCTTACTACTCTCTGAGTAAAGAACCTACCTCTGACATCTGTCCTATATCTATCACCCCTCAATTTAAAGCTATGTCCCCTCGTGCTAGCCATCACCATCTGAGGAAAAAGGCCCCCACTGTCCACCCTATCTAATCCTCTGATCATCTTGTATGTCTCTATTAAGTCACCTCTTAACCTTCTTCTCTCTAACGAAAACAGCCTCAAGTCCCTCAGCCTTTCCTCATAAGACCTTCCCTCCACACCAGGCAACATCCTGGTAAATCTCCTCTGCACCCTTTCCAATGCTTCCACATCCTTCCTACAATGCGGTGACCAGAACTGTACGCAATACTCCAAGTGCGGCCGCACCAGAGTTTTGTACAGCTGCAACAACTTGATTAACAGTTCAGCCATAATACCACTAGGTCATTGCCTCGAACTATATTCGTTGGATTTTAGAAGAATAAGGTTTGTGGGGGAGGGCGGGAGCGGGATCTCAAAGAAACCTGTAAAATTCTAACCGGATGAGACAGAATACATACAGGAAGGATGGATGATCCAAAAATTAGTGTGGTTACAAATAAAGAGGAGAATAATCTTAGATTACAGGAGGATACAGACAGACTGGTCAATGGGCTGATCAGTGGTAAATGGAATTTGATCCAGATAAGTGTGAGGTGATGCACTTAGGCATGACAAATAAGGCAAGGGAATACATGATGAAAGGTAAGATCCTGGAAAGTGCAGGGATCAGAGAGACCTTGGTGTGCCTGTCCACCTGTCCCTTGAGTTAGCAGGACAAGTAGAAAAATTGGTTAAGGCGGCCGATGGGATACTTTCCTTTATTAGCCAAGGTATCGAGTTCAAGAGGAGGGAGGTTATATGCTGGAAAGGTATAGAGTTGGGCTACAGCTAGAGTACTGTGCGCATTTTTGGAAGTCACATTATTGGAGGGATGTCATTCACGGGTGAGTGTGCAATGGAGATGCACCAGGATGTGGCTATTGCTAGGGAGTTTTAGTTATCAAGAGAGATTGGACAGATTGCTGTTGTTTTCCTTGGAGCAGAGGAGACTGAAGGATCATGATTGAAATAAATAAGATTAAAGGGGTTATAGCAACATCAGACAAAAAGCAACTTTTCCCCTTGGCGCAGAGATCAATGACCAGGAGTATAGATATAAGGAGAGGAGGTTTAGAGGGCAAGTGAGGAAAAATGTTTTCATCTAGAAGGTGGTGGGAATCTGGAACTATTTCCCCAAGACTGTTGTAGAAGCAGAAATTCTCATAAGACTGAAGTATTTAGGCGTGTGTTTGCAATGCCAAAGCATATAAGGCTACGGGCCAATTGCTGCAAAATGAGATTAGAATAGTTAGGTAACAAGGTGTAGAGCTAGCAGGCCAAGCAGCATCAGAGGAACAGGAAGGCTGACGTTTTGGGTCTGGACCCTTCTTCAGAAACGGGGGAGGGGAAGGGGATTCTGAAATAAAGACAGAGAGAGGGGGAGGCGGATGGAAGATGGATAAAGGAGTAGATAGGTGGAGAGGAGACAGACAAGTCAAGGAGGCAGGGATGGAGCCAGTAAAGGTGAGTGCAGGTGGGGAGTTAGGGAGGGGGTTGGTCAGTCAAGGGCCTGCTGTGTTCATCCAGCTCTACACCATGTTATTTCAGATTCTCCAGCATTGGCAGTTCCTACTCTCAGAATAGTTAGGTGCTTGTTTTTGACCAGTACAGACTTGATGGCCTGAAGGGTCTTTTCCTGTGCTGTATTTCTGTAATTCTGTGTTCTTGATGGCCAGGAAGTGCAGAATCAGGGGTCACAGTCTAAGGATATGGTTTAGGCCATTTAAGATTGAGATGAGGAGAATTTCCTTCACCCAGAGTGGTGAGCCTGTGAAATTCTCTGCCACAGAACACATTTGAGGCCAAAACAGTGAATGTTTTCAAGAAGGAGCTTGATATAGTTCTTGGGGTAAAATATTTCAAATGGGGAGAAAGTGGGAAAAATAGTACAAAGTTAGATTATAATCATATTGAATGGTGGAGCAGACTCAAAGGGCCAAATGAACTATTCTTACTCCTATTTTCTATGTTTCTATGAGTAATGAACTATGGATAAAGTGCAGCCTGCAGGCATACTGTACTTGCATTTCCAGAAGGGATTTAATTAGGTACCACTAATGAAAGCAGAAATGAAATCTCATAGTATAGGGGGAAAACATATTAGCATGAATATAACATTGGCTGGCTAGCAGCAAATAGTGTATGCATAAATGGGTCATTATCTGATTGGCAGGATGTGATGAATGGAGTCCCATATAGGCCTAGTTCTGCAGTCTCAACTTTTTAGACTTTATATCAATGATTTAGATGAGGGAACCAAAGGCAATGCAGCTAAACTCACAGGGAACACCAAGATAGGCGAGAGTGTGTAGATGTGAAGCTGGAAAAGTGCAGCAGGTCAGACAGCATCCAAGGAGCAGGAAAGTCAATGTTTTGGCCCAAAACGTTGGCTTTCCTGCTCCTCGGATGTTGTCTGACCTGCTGTGCTTTTCCAGCTTCACATGTATGCACTCTGGCTTCCAGCATCTGCAGTCCTTACTGTCTCCAAGTAGGTGAGAGTATGTGTATGTTGTGAAGACATAAGGAGTTTGCAGACGACATAAATGGAGTGAATGAGGGGGCAAACATCTGGCAGATGGAGTACAATGTGAGAAAATGTGATGTTGTTCACTTTGGCAGAAAGAATGAAAATGCAAGTAATACTTACATGGAGAATTACTGAAGAAATTTCTGGTGCAGATTTAGGTGTTCTAGTCAATGAGTCACAAAACCTTAGCAGGCAGGTATGACATGCAATCAAGGTTATGAGAGGAATTGAATATACACATAATATTTCTGTTATACAGAGTATTGATCATCCGGAATACTGTGTGCAGTTTTGGTCTCCTTTTTTAAGGAGTTATGTTAGTACGTTGGAGGTAATTAGGAGATGTAATTAGATTGTATCCAAAATTAGTAGTTTGTATTACAAGGAAAGGTCGGACAGTCTGGGTTTCATCCCCCCTCTGATGTTTAAAAAAGTAACTTCATTGAAGTGTATAAGATCCTGATATATAAAAATTTATAAAGAAATGATGTTTCCTTTCATGGGTGTATTTTAAAATTAGGTATCACATTGAGGATAGAAATGAGTGTTATGCAACTTTGGAACTTTAAGTCTCACATGTTGGTGGAAGGAGGGGAGGTGGATAGATTATTTTTAGGCAGGGAATCAAAGTGGGGGTAGATGAATATTAAATTTGAAATACAAACATATCAACCAAGATTTTAATGAATGGTGGACCAGGCTCAAGGGGCCAAATGATCATCTTCTGTTCCAATATCCTATGTTCTTAATCAGTTTGGGACCTAAATTAAAATAAATTGATTAGATGCCAATTGCCCCTGGCAGAATCCATATACCTTTGCCTACAATTTCACTTCTCGTCTGGAGAGAATTAGAAAAGTCATGTGTTGACAAGTATTATGGTGTCCTCAATAGCAATCACAAGTTCTGAAGTAATTAAAGTATATTTGAACACACCAGCAAGGAAAACAAATTGACATTGTGACATTTCAGTGCACCAATATTTCCAGTATAAACATTGTACTAATTTTTTAAAAATTCATTCACGGGATGAGGGTGTTGCTGGCTGGGTTAGTATTTATTGCCCATTCCTAACTGCCCAGAGATCAGTTGAGAGTACACCATATTGCTGCAGGTCTGGAGTCACAGTTAGGCCAGAACAGGTAAGGATGGCAGTTTTCTTCACTGAAGGAAATTAGTGAGCCAGATGGGTTTTGCAACAATCAACAATGGCTTCACGGTCATCACTAGATTCCGAATTCCAGATTTTTTTTTATATAAGGAGTTCAAATTCCACCATGTGCCATGGCAGGATTTGAACCCAGGTCCTCAGAATATTTCCTGGATCTGTGGACTATCAGTCCAGCAAATAATATCACTGGCCTTTGCCTCCCCCTATCTGTTCGGATATCAATTTGTAATACTCTCAGCTTACAATCTTTTTTTAAATTTAATCTTCAGTTTGAAAAGGCACATTAATGTTACTAAAATACAAGAAAGAAAGCAGCAGGAAAGGTAGTTTCCAAGTGCACAAAGGTTTCTTAAAATATCTTTTCACACACTGCATCTTGCACAAAGACAGATTTATGCATCACTGCTTATGGCAGTACATAATATTTCCCCTCCCTTACTTTCAACAGTGAGTGTTGTTTCTTTCTCCATTAACTTTAACAAGGATCCAAGAAAGTGTTGAGATGCAATGGTCACAAATGTAATTCGTACTTACTACTTGAAGACATCCTGCTGGAATCAGAGCTGTAATCAAATGACAATAATGCAACATTAAGTATTATGTATTTCACAGTGAAGAAAAAGATTCTACAAAAAAAAAATGCTATCAATTGGGGGAAAGCAACAAATCTTTAACTTATTTAGTGTACCAAGTTTCAAAATTTTTGCCACATGCATAGCTGAGGTCAGAAGTCTTTCATTCCATACATTCAGTGGCTTGTGGGAATCCCAGAAATATGGTGCAAGTTTTGGTTCCAGAATACTAATTTCATATACAAGTCATTGCCTTTTATACAGCCAAATGCAGCAAGGTTTTTTTGAAAACTGTTGCTACTGTTACCAATTGCAGCTATGCATACCGTGATATCAGATCTCCTGGCAGGCCACAATCATCTGGCTTGTGCCATCTTCACAAATCCATTACATCTCAGAGTGGTTGCAGATGAGATATGCATCACCCAGCTACACCTAGGGTGACTCCCACTTTCTGCTGCCCACGGGAATACACCTTTACAGATTTTTTGCTTCAACCAGAAAGCCAAAATACTCCTTTTCTTTTCTGAATATACACTTTTGCTCTTGAAATTTCAACTGTTTTCACTTGTCTTATGATCAATACATGGAATTTTTAATTTTAAACAGTGCCTGTACAATTATTGCAGGATATAGAAGTTGACAAAGAACTTGTACATTTGCCACTTTCTAATAAAATGCCGAATACCATATCTTCCTCTTGGTGACTGATTTGCATGGTTTGATATTTTTTAAAAAAGCAAAACAAAGTACAGTAAATGAAAACAAGAAATAAAACTAACAGTGTAAAATGAAATGAAAGTTTGGCAAGGCTAGAATTATTTGAATAGTGCCAGTTTTTGTATTGCAATATTTCAATAAAGTTTGTGAATCTGTGTCGTAGAAATTTGTGAATTGAAACTTTTATGAAAGCAAACCAGTGATGTATTTATGTACTTACTACTTTTAAGCAATAAGGAAATCACACTTTCACAATTAAATATAGAAATTAATAAGCCACTAATACAGTCATCTTCCACATACAACTTTAACTTGATTATGGCTGTAGCAGCTTTGCGTGATTGGTAGCATAAACTCATAAGAGTGACAATCTTGTTTCTCCTACTTAAGCAGTCTGAAAATTCAAGATGCTTGTAATGTTGCAGATGGATAAATGGAAAAAAACTGCTCCAATTGTCAATAACTGATTTGCAACCTCAACATTTCTAACTTTCAACAAAGTACAACAACGATATTTTGATGCTGTATCAAACAAATCCTATTTAAAGCAAAACCTTCTCCATCTATTTAGTCAAACATTTTCACTCTTAGCTGGAACACACTGAACAAAAGAAACAAAGAAAAAAATCTTATATTTACGTTGTGCCTATCAGAACAGTAGAAGTCCCAAAGCATTTTACAGAAAACTACTCTTACAATATAGCTAGTCATCGTTGTTTTGAAAGCAGAGTTGGGTGTTTACGGGCAGTTGACTTATTTGTTGATGTGACAGGGTGTAATAATCACTAAGGCATAGAGAAACGGACCTGTTCTTCTTCAATAGTATAATACATTCAGCTGAGTAAACAGCGCAAGCTATTCAATGTCTCATCTAAAAAGACAGCACCAATGGTAATACAGCACTCCCTCACTGGTCAAATTTCTGGAGTAGGGCTTGATCTTAAACTTGAATCAAGAGGCAACATTGCTATCATTGACCTGAGGATGATCTCCAAAAATGACATTTTAAAATCATTTCCACCCAAGAATTTAACAGTTAACAAGGTGTACAGCTGGATGAACACAGCAGGCCAGGCAGCATCAGAGGAGCAGGAAAGCTGACGTTTCGGGCCTAGATCCTTCTTCACATTTTTCTGCTCTTCCGATGCTGCTTGGCCTGCTGTGTTCATCCAGCTCTACACCTTGTTATCTCAGATTCTCCAGCATCTGCAGTTCCTACTATCTCTGAATTTATAACAGTTGGTAACTTTTGGCATCTTCCTAGCAAGTGAAGATGAGGGATGATTCAGGAAATCCATTGGCAATGGGATAGTTTCTTATGCTGCACATTTACTAATGACTGGAGAGTCCAATTCATGAGTGGCGGGTTCTGCCACAACTGTCACATGTGGTTAACTGGCTATCATTGTGGGTTTTGTTGGTAGCCTTGATGCCTGCAGGTAAGCTTTGTAACTACTGATCATCGTGATGTTGCCATTTCTGTGTTGTTGGTTAAAGCCTCCAATGAATGAAAATTGATGTTTACAGCCTTCATTTCATACTTGCAAGCATCTTTGGGTGCTCTACTGGTCTTTTGCCTTTAGCTAACTTGTCACATTGAAAATCAATGGGGCTGTGTCTATCTTCTATCCCGCAAACGTGACAGAGTTAGTAAAGCCACCTTTACTTAATGAGTGCTATCATATGTAAGAAATTTGCCTTTGAGATGACTGTCCATTTCTGATCATGAATTCTCATGAAATGTAGGAAAACACTCCACAGACAGTGAAGATGAGAATGGTCAAGTTTCCTTTCTTGTTAGGTAGAAGTTGTTTGTGCTTCATAGTCATACACCAAGGTGCTGAAAACACAGGCCTCAAAAACTTTGGTATGAAGAGACATCTCAGTTTTCCACGCACGTTTTGCAAGTTGGATTTTGCATCAAGAATCAGATAGTCTAACAATAATGGACACAAGGTAGCAGAATTCGCTAACCTCTTCCAGCAGTGTTATTTAGTCGGATTGAGAGTTGAGATATGACACCCTGCACTTTTATCATTGTTTTGTTTTATTATTTCATGGGATATGATGCTTACAGTAAGGGAGAGACATTCCAGTAGTATTTGTAGCTAAGTTCTTATGTGAATAACGAGCATGACACAATCAATGTACTGGAATTCATTGATCAAGACATGTTGGATTTTTTTCTTCACTTCCATCTGCACAAGTTATAGAACTAACTGAACTTATATGCTGTACTTCCTGATAGCACAATAAGGGAAGGGTAAAGTCAGCATAGTCTTAAACTATAGGGCTGCTCTCTCAATAGAAAAAGATGACTAGTGGTTATTTAACCTGGAGGGTCACCATACCTCAGGCAAGGGAAATGTTGACGAGAGTGTTCTTCACTTCATCCTCATCCAGTACGGAAATTTAACTCCCACTTTTGGTGTCACTCTGCACCGCAAACCTGTTGTCTAGCCAACTGAGCCATAATAAGATATTGTTGCAAGCATTATGTATTTCTCCAGTTAGTAAGGGCTCATGGAGAAAAAGTCAATAATATTTTAAAATGTCTGTTTGTATCACAATGCAAATGAAAAGTGCAGCAGGACTTTAAACAGGAAGAAAAGAGATGGCCTGCTAGGACAAGGAGTTAAAATTATGCTAGAAAAACAAAAATCTTTGCAATGATTGAAACATCTTTACATGTTTTGGTAAACACTTATACATTTAGTTTCATAACACTGCCCCATAACTTTGTTACTTTCAATGTTTTACTGATGTATTTGCAGGAAGGTAATGTTAAGATGGAAAAAAGGGGAACAAGTTCATTAATTTTTTTGTCCTAAATGAAATAGGCCAGACATTGTTTGAAATAAAAACAGTTTTCTTCCTCATTTACCAAGTTAAACCAGAAGAAGGGTTCTCTCAATTTTACATCAGCATTTTAAGTCTGCTTCTCCTGACCCTGTATCAAACCATCATTGTATCTACACATCTTTTGCTGCACAGTCTTGTTGAACAAAGGGACACTTAAAACTGGCCCCCAACAAAAGGGACAAGAAATCTAACAACATCTAAACACCTTACACAAGGTCTAAGTTGAACATTACATTAATTTCGCCACACCCCTTTCTGAAGTGATTGAATTTAAGTCATGAAACACAGAAAACAAAGTTAATTATTAAAATTAGGTGCTTTATTTCTGAGTTGCTGTTCAACAGGTGTCAAATTAATTCCTTACATTTTAAAACAAAATCAGTAAAAAAGTTGTAGTAATACTAAATAGTAATTCTATTATCATCCTCCACATTATATGTTTCTAAAGAATTATACAAGGGAGACTGAAAGTAATTTTCTTTCAAAGGATTACAATTTGATCAAAATGCTTCACAGGAATTGCTAACTGGAGCTGAGTTGATCAGGAAATTTAAGATGCAATTAAATAAAAAATATTTAAACGATTACAAGGAATGATCAAGTAAATGGCATTGTAATTTAAAGTTTCATTAGAGAACTAGCATTATCAGAAGCAACATGGTACTGGAGATGGCTTTCAGCCTACTCTTAAGACACTTCAGCTGGAGTTTTCTTCCTGAAGGCAGTTCTGGCCCCCAATGACCCGAGTTCAGGCAGTGGAAGGAGGTGGGTCCTGAATCTACCCCAATCTGATTCACACTTGTTATTCAGTCCCCAAGGAAGCCGACTTGTGAAAACGTACATTTTCACATGCATCTTCTAGCCTGGATCTATGGACAGCGATGGTGGAGGCTCACATTTGTTACCCCGAGGTCATGACTGGCCAGGAATCAATTATGTCCGGCATTCAGGAGAGTGATTTACAAATCAAAATTGAATCAGTTTGGCTGTGTGATGAATGCACCCTCATTTACCATAAAGTTCAGGATTAGGACATAAACTTGGGAGTATCGGACTCCGAAACAGAAAGTGTATCAACTAGGCCACAAATCCTCCCTCTATTGAAACATTAATCAATATAAACCGAATATCTACACGGAATATGTTTTAAACATCATTGAAATATATATTATGTATACAATCTCTAGTCTCCGAGTGAGAGCTATTTTTCAAATCACTTCGTTTTGTAAGGCAAACACTGAAGTCGCTTAAATCAACAATAAACTCAGGTTTTTGAATAACCTTAGGAAGAGTTAATAGATTATGGCTCCAGTACGGAACTTGCCCTGTGCAATATTAAGTGCAAGTTCATAGTGACCGGTTCTAAAAAGAAAACTGCATCAGAACTGCTAACTAAATGCAGCGCGTAACCAGGGAAGATTATAATCATCGGAATCCGACAGGGAAATGTCTGGTGTAGTACATTCACAAAAGAAAGTTGTTTGTTTGATGCTTAGTCGGAAGTTTCTTCGGTGGCAAAAATCATTAGGTTTTTCGATAACCTAAAACAAAAGAACTGCGGATGCTGGAAACCTGAAACAAAATAGAAAATTGCTGGAGAAATTCAGACTCTTAAAATTGAACCCGAATTATTAACTCTGCTTTCTCCAGCACTTTGCTTTTGTATTAGGTTTTTCGAAATTGATGTTTGATAATAAAATGCACAAAGGAATCAGTGTAAAGCGCCAACTCAGTGCAGCGTAATCGAACTTAAAAAGGTCTGGGGTTACCAGGGCAACAATTTCATCTGCGTTCGGAATTTTGATTTAGGTTCCTATTTAAAGTGCGCCGCTACGCATTAATCGCCAGAACGGTACAAACAGCACAGCTTTCTGGTTTCCACGGTGAATCAATAACCGAACACTGAATCAATATCGTGGACAGTGTGAATGTGTCACTTCTTCAATACTGCCCTGCAGTTGACACCATTCGAGAGGAGATTGCGTGATTATGTCAAACTCTTTACTGCTAGTGTTATTAAATTAGAAACCTGATCTGCTTCAGCGCTGCTAACCAGAGACGTACCATATACATTTCAGTTTGGCTCAGACTGTGGCATCCCTCGTCTTATTAACAATGATCTAATGCAGCCACAAAGAAATCTGAAAAAAACTTACATAACGTCGGGCACAAACACACTAAAGACCTCCCATTAAGTAGCCGGTTATCCACAATGTTTAACGGAATTGTGTTATTCATCTTTCGACTAGCAGCCTATCGACTGTAAAAGGCATTGAAAGTTCTTGGAGGAAGAAACTTCAACCCCGCCCAGAAAGTGGATTGTTCCTTCAGTGTACAAAAATAATAAAATTTACTGAAATGTAGTGTAGGTTTAAAGTGGAGCAAACCTGGTTGACAGTGAAGTGAATAAGTTGTGTTGTGAAGAGGCGTGCTGCCTTCTACATTTCATTTAAATTCAAGTGAACATATAGAGGAAACCGAAGTCGAATAGAGTCACCACCAACCCGTGCAAGGATCTTGTGCCCACAGTAAAGCAGAAGTCTTTTGTTGTTACGGCTTCCCTCCCCTCCCCCTCTATGGTGCCCCGCCTGGAGACAGTGGAAACAAGCCGCCTTCTTTCCCCTCTCCATCCTGCCTCTGAATCGCAACAGGCCCAGGAAGGAGTCGACAATGGCACTCACTCACCCTGCAGTCTCAGCTCCCGAGTCTGCCCACTCCTCCGCTGGCCCACTGCTGCCGCCTCGCATCATGTCCCAGCGCTGCGTTCGGGAACCAGCTTGTATACTCTACTGCTCAGGGAGGCTCCAGCTTCAGGCGGCTCCGCTCCTCATTGTTTTCGCGCAGGTTGATCATAGAAACACAACCCGCCCCTTGACGTCACCGATCCTGACAGACAAGACATGGGAGGCTCCAATTGAAGACTTTTCCCTCTCTTCTGCTTATCTAGCCACTCGAGAGAGAAAAAATTCTTATTATGACTGCAAATATAAGGAGGGGAGGAAAAGGCGAGGGAGCATGGTGGGGGAGGTTGGAAGAGTATGTTGGTTGTAACTGTGCTACAAACAGGATTGACTGGTCGCTGCAGGATATAATGACCGCAGCAGTTGGATTATTCGACAAGCAAACATTGGTAGCTGGAACTGTATCTGATTAAGTACCTGAGACAGCAATCAAAGATACACCAGTCAGCCATTTGACACACATTGCTGCAGGCTCATTGTAGCGTAGAGGTGGCTAGATGGTTTGTGGAAATCAATGGAGGTCAGCCACTGAGGGGGCTAGATTTTTCCTAGTTATACATAACACATTTTAACAAATGCTCAACCAAACAGTCAAATAAGAGAAACTTCCCAAGAGTGGATTTGATCCGTTTTCTGTCAATATTTGCATGTGGTCCCTACCATCCTTTATCCCATCACCATAATCCTCCTATCCCTTTCTTTCTATAATGTTCTAGCTTCCTCTTAAATATACTATATCACACTACATTACATCTGTAGCAACAAGGCCAACAGGCTAACCATTGGAAGTAAATCTTCTTCAGCTCCCAAATAGGTTACCAGAGGGCACAAATAAAAGTAATGAAAGCAAAATAAAGTAGATGCTGGAAATCTGAAACAAAGAATTATTTCCACTTGACAAAACCGTGTTGAATCTTCTGGATTAGTGTTTTTTTTCTCTAATCATATAGCCAAAAGCTTTAATGTTCTAGTCAGTACTTTCTCCTTGAAAGCAATCCATGAACTATTCTTCAAGCCTATCTCTGGCAATATTTCCAGTTTATATATCAAATCACCCATTATAGCTATCACTTTATCAGAAATACCCTTGTATTTCTTGTACATTTTGTTCCACATTGTGGTTACTGTTAGGGAGCATGATTAAACAGTCCTACACCTCCAGCGTGTTTTGTATTCTTCTTAAATGTAAGATACCCCTCAATATTCAGGACCCACTGTCCACTATTAATTCATTTACTTTGTTATGAATATAATGCACATTTATGACCAAGGCCTTTACATTTATCATAGTTACACTTGACTGTTGGTGTATTCTGAGGGTTTTTTGTCTGTCACATCCTACTATACTCTGACAATCATTTCCCATGTTACTGTTTTCCTCTTGCTTTATTTTCATTGTTTGATAAGCCATATTCTTCCACATTTATTCACTTGCCCTCTCTATTTAGTTTAAAACACTTCTATACCGTAGAAACAGTTTGCAAAAACACTGGCTCAGCATGGTTCAGATATAGACCACCCCAATGGTGTAGCTCCCATTTTCTCCAGCAGTGGTGCCAGTGCCCCAAGAACTGGAACAACATGTCCCACATCGGTTCTTGTACTTTACACTGGCACCATTCCTTACCTCTTCCTCCGCTACATTGATGACTATATCGGCGCTGCCTTGTGCTCCCATGAGGAGCTTGAACAGTTCATCAACTTTACCAACACTTTTCACCGCAACCTCAAATTTACCTGGACCATCTGATACCTCCCTCCCTTCCTGGATCTCTCCATCTCCATCTCCAGTAATCGCTTCAACACCGACATCTATTTCAAATCCATTGACTCCCATGGCTACCTGGACTAGACCTCCTCTCACCCACCCTCCTGCAAAATTATGATCCTTTACTCCCAATTCCTCTGCCTCATCTGCTCCCTAGATGGAGTGTTCCACTTTTGGACATCCCAGGTGCCCTCTTATTTCAAGGACTGCAACGTCACCACCGCTTCCCCGCCCCCCCGCGCCGGGTGATCAAAAATGCCCTCAACTGCATCTCTTGCATTTCCCGCACTTCCACCCTCAAACCCACATCCCCCAACAAAAATAAAGAAAGAATCCCCTTTGTCCTCACATACCACCCCACCAACCTCCGTATCCAGCCTATCATTCTCCACCACTTCCGCCAACTACAACTCAACCCCACCAGAGATATTTCCTTCCCCACCCCTATCTGCTTTTCATAGAGATTGCTCACTCCGTGATTCCCTTGTCCACTCCACACTCCCAACCCTTCCTTGCAACTGCACAAAGTGCTACACCTGCCCATAAACCTCCCTCCTCACCTCCATCCAAGGTCAAAATTAAACCTTTCATATCGAACAAGGGTTCGCCTGTACATCCTCCAACTTGGTCTACTGTACGTGTTGTTCCCGATGTGGCCCCCTCTACATCGGTGAGATCAGGCGTACAATTGGAGACCGTTTCGTGGAGCATCTGCGCTCTGTACGCGACAAGCAACATCACCTTCCGGTCCCCAAACATTTTAATTCCCCCTCCCACTCCCTTGGTGACATGTCCATCCTGGGCCTCCTCCAGTGTCACAATGACACCACACGCAAACTGGAGGAGGAACACCTCATTTTCTGCCTCTGGAATCTACAGCCCAATGGCCTAAAACATAGAATTCGTCAGTTTTAAAATCTCCTCACATCACGCCCCACCCCACCAACAGCCTCATCCCGCCTCCTTGACCTGACAAACCTGTCCATCTTCGCTCCCACCTATCTGCCCTACCCTTTCCGCTGACCAATCCCCACTACCCCCTACCTGCAACCAACCTAACACCATTCCACCTACCTTTCCCCAGCCCCATGCATCCTCCCTCCCACCTCCTTGACCCAAACACATGTCCGTCTTCTCTCCCACCTATCCGCCCCACCGCTCCCTACCTGCATTCACCTATCACCATCCCACTTACCTTCTCCTGTCCCACTACTCCTCTACTTATTTCCCAGCTCCTTTCCCCTTCTCAATTTCTGAAGGGTCCCGGCCCGAAATGTCAACTTTCCTGCTCCTCTGATGCTGCCTGAACTCACACTACATCAATTTGCATAGCATTCAAGTAATAATCCAGAGATCACAAAGTTTGAGGCTTGCCTTTTAATTTAGTGCTCTAGCTTATTGTACCCTCTATGCAGAACCTCTTACCCAGCTTTATTTATGTCATTGGTACCCAGCTAGATCACAACTTGATGATCCTGGTCCTGCGACAATTTTGTCTTTAGCTCTGAGCAGATATTCTGAACCCCTGGTACAAGACAGACAATGCAGTTGTCTGGACTGTCATCCTTTGCTGAAGAGGATAAATCAATCCCCCCCCCCCGAGTATACTAATTACGACCACAACAACACTTCTTGTTCTGCACGCTCCACCCCTCCACTCTTACCTGCCTTACTCTGTCACATCTTCCCATCTCTGACCACAGACCAAATCAGAAGATGCTGTTCAAAGTGATGTGACTGCTTCTTGCTACAAAGAATTCAGGTGTCTTTTCTCCTCCCCGATGCATCACAGTATCTGTAGTTCAGCCGCCAGCACATACTGTGAGCCAAAGTGGTTCAAACCTAAACACTAATAAATGATAACAACATAGACTCACTGATGAAATAAAACAAAAAGGTTTAATGGAATACTACCAGAAATGAGAGGTTACGCCTGTCAGGAAAGATTGATTTAGCTCAAGTTCTTTTCTAGAAAAGAGGTGACTTCCAGGTGGCCTGATCGAGATCTTTAGGATTAAGATCAGGGAGACGTTGCTTTGCAGTTAGAATGTTGGCCTTGTTACCACATTGAGTGGTTGAGTTGATGAATACATTTAAAGGGAAGTTAAGTAAACACTGGAAGAAAAGGTTAGAAGGATGTTTGTTAGGATTAAATAAAGAAGAGCAGAAGGCAAACACTAGATATTTACTTGTATCAAGCCACTTCAAAAGAATAAAAATTGATCTGCAGCAGTTCAAGGTGTCCCCTACCTGTTCGGGGCAACTAGGGTTAGTACAGTAACTGTTAGCCTTGCCAAATTCCCCTAGTTTAGAGAATAAATAAAAAATATTTACATCCAGAAATGCAGTTCTTCATAGCAAAGCAATTCAGGCTACGCCAGCCAAAAAATGTTCATTGTTCGAATCCCCACTCACTCCTCTTCCCTAACACCTGCATCACAAAAGCACTTCACTGCAATGATGCATTTTTGATTTGTAGACACTTGTAAACACAGCAGACTATTTGCACACAGCTGGCTCCCATAAATGGGCAGATTTCCCTTGGGTTACTACATCCCAGATGTCCTGATTCAGCAAATACTTAATTCTGTGATCTGAGTAGAATTCTAGATTATACCATTGCAGTAAGCTTTACAATCAATATTACACAAAGACACTTTCTAATGCTACTGCAGTATTCCCAAAAGTCACATTGCCTTTTGCCCAATGTCAGTCATGTTAATTTGAGCTGAAAGACAAATATTTATTGAGAAGTGATAAACTACAAAGTTTAGATAATCTATTTTTTGATATTGTCTGTGCCATCATAAGAATAAATTTACATGCCAATAAGGTTTGCTTTTAAACCCCTCATTAGCATATTAAACAAAATGATCGCATTATGTATACTGGTGACTGCTCTGTGCATTAGAATTCATTTACAGCTATGATGGGCTGCACAAATGTAACTTTGTATATACTGAAACTAGTTTTATTGAATTTTAGATAGAAGAATCATAGAATTTTACAGTCCATTTGACTCATGGACTGTCTCCCAAAAGAGCTAGCTAGCTAGTGCCATTCTTCAGCCTTATCCCCATAGCCCTCTAAATTTATCACTTTCAAATATATATGCAGTTCTCTTTTGAGACCTCCTAAGGAATCAGTCTCCACCACTATCCCAGGCAGTGCATTCCAAATCCTAACAGCTCTAAGGAAAGAAGGTTTTCCTCATCAATCATAGCTCTCTGGCTGACAACATTGAAGTATGACCCTTAATTACTGACAAACCAATTAATGGAAACAGAATATCCTTCTTTACCCTGTCAAAGTTGTTCATAA